TGTGGGGGGGGGGGGGGGTGGAGTAATACAGTTTTGTTGGATATATTACATACTCTTTTTTGTCCCCCTTTTATTAGGGGGGGGGGGGATGCCCAATTTTATTTAAAAACCCCATTTCCCAAAAAAACCCCCCGCAAAGGCAGAGCACCCCCCCCCCCCCCCCCCGCAAGACCTCTGATGCGCGCCAGTTCGGTGGACAGTCTGAAAAAGGCAGTCTCAGGGCAATTACGCATTAAATAGGCAACTTTCCAACACTGAAAAAAAAAAGGGAGAACCATTAGCCATAACAGAAAACTAAGCTAAACCAGTGCTGGTAACATGCGAAGAGAAAGAAATAAGAACAAACCAATCCTTAAATACTCACAAAATAGAAAACCCACTGTATAAATTAACTAAGCAACACACATCCGGTTACGACAGTTTCAAATGAGCGGATTCCAAAAGCGCCCAGAATGCAAATATAAGCTAAACTTTGTACGCTAAAATTTTGCCATTTTACGTCAACTCAGTCGTCGTGTTCGCTTTCATTTTGTTTTGCAAAGTTTATTTTTCCGATAGTTTCAATTCTTGCGTGCTTAGATCTGTATGTTTAATTTTATAACTTATATAGGTATTTGAACCTGCATTCTTTGAAATTATACTTATTTTGTATTAGTCTCTGTAACAAGGTATTCAGAGCTCTGTGTTTTTCACTCAAAATCTCCCCGCTGTTTCGTGTTATCACATTACAAGGGAATACGTTTCCTGCTATTTTTTGGCCACTTCTCAAGGGTGTTTTTTTTAAAAGTGTTTTTTCGTATCTGGCGTGCCACACGTTCTAGCCTAGAACGGGTAATAGTATTTAAATAGAAGTATAGCATTGATGTAACTTAACAAGGATGTATGTACATCAGATGACCGACGCATCCTAAATAAGCTTTTCACATTGATTGTCTCGTGTTAGTGCAATCATAATTGTCTGTTTTAGACTCTAGATCAATAAAGGTGTGTCCGTGACACACGGATAATGCAGACGGTATAAATGGCATATCCTCTTGGCGTCCGTAATAACCGGTTTCTATTGTGCATGTATAGAAAAACAGAAGGGAAGAAACGAGGGTAACTAGGGTTAAATATAGCTTAATAGGGTGAAACGTGGTCAACTTGCGGTGATTATGGATAAACGGTTTTTAACGTGGGCAACTTAGGGTTGATTTCCAGTGGCACGTAACTTTTACGTGCGTACGTCCGTATTTACGTTCGCAAATAAAATAGAGGAAATGCATGAGAGCTCGCTTGTAAGCGTAACAGTTGAACCTCGCTCAACTTCTCGTTTAGGCTCAGCATTTTTTACCTTGCCTCTATTTTATTTACGTGATTAAAATTTACGTGCGTGGCCAAAAACGCGTCAGTGGGGATCAACCTTTAGCGTAAACACAGATAAACGTTGACAAACGCGGGCAACTAGCGGTAGATGTGGGCAAAAGGGATGTAAAGTGAATAATTTGGGGTGTATATTGAAAACCGTGATGAAATGTGGGTAATTTAGGGGTAAATATAAGTGAACAGGGTGAAGCATGGGTGACGGGTTGCCCATCCCATCCGATGATGGATACCCTAAGGGATTTTTAGGAAAGTTTAAAAACGGGGGGGGGGGAGGGGGGCTGATGGCGGATATCTGGAAGGGGGAACAACTGGACTAAGAAAAAAACTTTAAAAAAATCTGCATAGCAGTGCTGATCAAAATCCTTTTTCAATTTACTCGCTTGTTTAAGCTTCAAAACTTCAGCTAGAGAGGGCTCATATCCGGGGAGCTAATAACCGGTAAGTATTCTTTTGTTTACACGTGACAGCATCAGTAGAACCCAGTCTTATTTGCGCTATCCCAATGTAGGGATTTTGAGGGTAGGTAGATGGACCTTTAACTGGGGTAGACATATTAAATTCTGCAAGCAGAATACTGCAATGCTGATCGCACTACAATCAACTCTCCTTAAGATGGACACCTTTGGGACCAGTAGTATGTGTCCGTCTTAGAGAGAAGTCCGTCTTATAGAGAGTCAAATAAGGGGAGTAAAGAAAAGGCAGGGAGCATCTGTAGGTGTCCGTTTTACAGAGGTGTCCGTCTTATAGAGGTGTCCGTTAAGAGAGAATTGACTGTACGTGAAAATTAACTCTGCAAGACATCAACACGACACCGAAAGAACTCAAAACAGAGCAGGATTGTAGCCATAGACAGCTGTTTCGCCCTTTTATAGATCCGATATGCCGTAATTCTTACATGGTTTTGTCCATGTTTTATAGGTTGGTTTTGGCCAATTTTTTTTTTCTCTGCGAGACATCAACTTGACACTTGTGGATTTTTGCCCCCCAGAAGACACGTGGTATGGCGTGGTTCTTGTGGGCGTTGAGAGTTCTAGGTCAGGGCTTAAATCAGAGTGCGCGGATATTTTTCACTAGAGTTTTCTGTGTTGTTACGACATACTTACGAGCGCCAAAGAGGGTTTTGAGCTCTTTCGGTGTCGTGTTGATGTCTTGCAGCGTTAATTTTCACGTAGTACGATCAGCATTGCAGTATTTTGCTTGCAGATAATATGTCTACTTTTTATTTTAGCTGATCAGGTCTTTATAGATCCTACGTTCTTCGGTATATTCGTTTGCGGTCCTTTGCAGTCCTTTGTGGTTAATGTTTGTACTTTAACTGGGGGCTTATGTAAAGTGAGAGGGTCAGGCGGCTAAAAAGCTGAAGTTCACTGTTTGGAAATGAGATTGTTTTAGCACAGGTGGCCCAAGCTCGAAATATGACCATCGGTACTATTGCGTAAAGTTCAAACTGTAAGGATTTGTATGGGAGTAGAAAACGAATGTTTCTGTAGCCTAGCCTATTATCTTATGGTGAAAGCAAATCATTAACTAGTCGTAAATCGGCTCAGAAACCACGCAGGACAGAAGAAGCATAGAACTTAAGAGAGGTTAGCCGATTTTTATTTAAGTACAGGGGCACCCAACGACTGTTTTCTGTTAAATATCTGTTCGGAGAAGCAAATATTCCCTAGAAATTTTTATTACTTGAGGACGGCTAAAAATTCCTAGCTTGACCGTTCCATTCACCTATAATTTTCGAAGCTTTTCCTAAAAATTATCTGCGATTTTCACATTTCATTCCCCAGGTTAGGCTATTTTTGGTAGGAAAAAGGAGTCCTAGAATTTTTAGATTCAAAAATGTGATGGAGAGAGGAATCACAAAAATTCTCATTTAAATTGACGCCGCTTTTTTTGAGAGATCTAAAGGTACTCTTGATAGCATAAAAAGTGTCTTCAATGTTTTTACGCGGAAAAAAACGTCTTTGGGTGCCCATGTGCCACATTCGTAGGCTACAGGAACAATCGTTTTTTCTCCCATAAGCTCCCATACCAATTAATCCTTAAGTTTGAACGTTACGCAACAGTTAGCCCGAATTTCAGACGATTACTTCGATTTGTTTTTGCTCACTCAATAACACGTCACCAAGGGAGTACCGGTATATTAAAAAACGACTTGAAGTAATCGTCTGAAATTCAGGCTAGCCAACAGTGCGATCGATGGTCCTACGAGCTTGAGATACCTGTGGTTCTAGTGCTCAGTCCTTCATGCAAGTCTGTCCCAGCGTCCTTTGCGGCTTCAGAAATGGCGGACGGCGGGAGTAAAAAAGTTTTGTTTTCAGCGACATTAAATTTAAGAATGTGACCTACGAAGATATGCTAACTTCAAAAGGGATTCGAAGTTTAATTCGGTTTACTAAGTAGTTGTTGGTTATGTTTCAAATGTCAAATTCTTTAAAGCTTCAGTGGCTCGACCATTTCGATGGTTCTTGGTCGAGGGAGGATGTGGGGACGTTAGCGACAAGACAAGGTGTTGTTTTCCTTCATCAAAAGCTTATTAATAACAAAGAAACTTTACCAATACCACATGCTACTCTGGAGCTTCGTGGTCCAAATCTGCCGGAATATGAGCGTGGACTGACCAGTGTATCTTGTCAGGAACAAGACGAATTTTTGAACGACATTTTATACAGCCAGCTATCCCTTGCACGTACAGTTTGTTGCGATTCTCCCTTTTATTGCACTTTACGTCGCCGAATTTTAGTTTTACAAAGGATATTTTTCGCGTTGACGAACAAATACCACTGCTTATCATCTAAACCAGTAACTTGTTTAAAGAAGAGCAACTGCGATAAATCTACAGGTATTACAAAGGACAATGTTACAACATCAGAAACTAAAGAAGGTTCTGCAGTGCTGGTAGAAATGGGCGTTAAAACTGGCTTGTCATTATTATTTGCTTTGTTTCGCCAGTCATGGCAATTTAATAATGGACAATTGTGTCATGATGTGTTACTAACAGCTTGTGATGTATTATCGTCTATCCCACCCCTGTCTCTGTCAAATGAGTCTAAGCTGCCTCCAATGGGGCTTGATTGCCTACGACAAGTCACATCATTTCTCAAGGGAGTTTTATCTCCAAGCTCAGCTGCTGATGCCCTTGGAAGACAGTTGGCTTGTGAACTGTTTTTACGAATCACTGCATTGAGGGGATCTCTCAAGTATCTTTTGGAGTGGATGGAAATTGCTCTTAGTGTTACTTGCATTTCTACTAATGATGGCAACAAGCCTGCTTTTCAAACTGGAATATCTGTTAAATGCCTTCGTGATATCCTCATTCAGATTCGAAAATCTATGGTAAGTTTAGAGAGAAAAACGGTTTTTGTGATACACACCCAACTCATCCGTGACTGCACCTCAGTTGTTAATAACTAAGTTGATAAGTAACGGCTTCAATAAAAATCAGCCTTTTTGGTACATAGTTATCATTACACTGCCAGGAAATCTAACACTGGAGAGCCTGTTGAACTATAAAAGCTGCCAAAAATTACTCAATGAGTTTAAAACAAAAGTTGTCAAGCCATTTTATTCTGGCATAAACAGTCTAGTGAGTAGCCAATTAATTCTGTCTGCTGCCAGCTGTTAGGGACAGCCCTGCTACAGTCAACTCTTGCCTTGCGTACACCCGGCTATAACAGGCACTCTGATAATACGGAGAGCAGCAAAAACCCAGGCAAATAAAAACTGCAGAAGTTTGACTGAAACTGACTCCTACTATTACATGTGTTTGGACTCCCGCTAATGAGGACACTAACTCGAGGTCCCTACAGTGTCCACTATAAAGAGAGCTGACCGTATTTGCTAGAGATTTAATTATTAACTGTTACTTCCTGTATTTTATGTTGAAAATGTAGAGTTGTTCTGCATCTACCACTCCATTATCTTCTCCTAAAAAGAATGAGACAAACAATATTCCAGAGCCAGAGCTGCCTTCAGCGGAATCAGGTCTGTTGTCTCTTCCCACTGCAGCCATTTGTCTTTTACAAGAGGTAATATTAAATTGGTGTTCAGTTTTAATTTAATAAAAGAACAAAATAGTGTTGAAATAATTTTATATGATTTTGCATTGCAACATTGGCAAGCAAAATGTTTTGTGTTGACTTCCAAAACATAGCTGATGGTAGTATTTCTGTCAGAACTGTCACAGTTTACAGGGCAGAAATTACTCCCTCTCCGTACAGTACCGGCCACAGGAATTGCAGCATTTACACGCATAAAAATTGTGTGCAATATTGCAGATTTACATGTAAAATACACACAAAAAACATGTGTGTAATATTTTACATGGACAATTAATGTATAGCTTTCATTACATTAAATTGTAATATGCTGATCGATCAGTCTCTTCACATTTAAATTTCAGTAACACGCCTTGATTTAAAATGGAAAATGTTTTGGATCATGTTTTTTCACATTCAAAATGGCTTTATTAATCATGAAAGAATCTTTTTGTAAGTTGGAACTAAAGAGTTGCATTCTCTGCATTGTACTGTGTGTTTTCTTTTAATTTGTCAGTGTAACCATTTCGTTCAACGGAATGGAACCAACGGCAAATTTTAACTGGATATTCATTCCAGAACATTTTAGTTTAACGAAACTGTAGATACATGTTTTAAAGGTTAACTATTGATTAACCTGATTAACATGTCATTAATTCCTCGGCGGCATGGGCTGAAGTTGATTGTGGTATGCTTTTAAAAATATAAAATGATTTCACGTAAGCTTACGCTCGTAGTTCCCACAGTTGGGACTTCCTTGTTTATTTACCAAAATTTATTTGTCAAACCTGGCCCCAGTATTTGAGGAAAATGAGTACTTGTTGTATTTTTTAATTTTGGGGTCATTTATGTAAAGTTTTAACGAAGAGAAGCTGGTAAAACAACAACTTAAGCAGAGAAAAGTGTTCCATGTGAAACAAGCAATTCTCATCGCTAAAAATGGATCAGATTGCCTGAGGAGATAGGAATGGTTGATACAAATAATAGAGTTGCTTCTGTTTGAAAATTTGATGTTGGAAAAAAATCTAGCCAGCAAACAAAAAAATAACAATAAAAGAATTACAAGCCTAAAGCAAGCAAAGAGGCAAAGAAAACAATTTTTTCGAAACCTAGCCCAGTTTATAACAAAATGAAAATAAACTACCAACGTGTAGTACATCACGTAACCTTGAAAAGATTTTAAACAGCGCAGTGAATCATTCTTGTTTCAACGGTGTTGCAAAGAGCCTCGGGACTTTTTAAAAGAGGCTTCAAGGATTAAACTGCACAAATATTTATTAACAAAGTGAAACCGCATTGACAATAATTTAGTTGCTGGACTGGTGCATGTATTGCTGCAATTCCTGTGGCCTGTACTGTTGTGCATGGTAGAACTTGAAGGGTGTTACATGTACTAAGGGTCATCAATATAGTTTTCTCATCAAAACTGTAATTCAGTACAGCATTTCACATTCAGCACTTATGAATAGAAGTCGGGGTTTGCCATGTGCATTATCATTCAGCTATCATACAATTAAAACCTTTAGTAGCTCACTAGTTCCAGCATCTTTGTCAGGGCTGACATCATGGTTTCAAGTTGCCATGTATAGGCTGTATAAATTATTGTGGATAAAATCTGTTTTTAGGTTAAACCAGTGTTCAAGCTACTCTTTTCATGACTTCCTTTGTTTTGTATCCCTAATTATTCATAGAAGAAAAATGGAAATTCTGAGTTAACTTGAGAACAGAGTTTACAACTGTACCTACAACAAAATTGTATGCTGAAAGTCATTAGGCAGGGGGTTGAGCAGCTAGGAAGTTCTTTTGGTTCTATTTTCCTTTGTTTCTATGAAAGTGGCCAAGAGCCATGCTCATTGTTGCTGGAGGAAATCCCTGTTCTCTGGCCTGCAGCCCTTAGAAACAGTCCTGTGATTCAAAGCTCTCCTTTTCTAATAATGTCCAGTTATTTTTTTATCTTTCCACAATTGAAACCATGTTTAAATAAGACAAGAAATTATCTCTGCATATAACTAACACTCTTTAATACTTGTTCAGATTGTCAGATTATCTAAAGAGTACAAAAAATCCTGCATAAATCCTGGAGTGAACACTTTGCACGTGAATGGTAGTAAGCCACTGTCAAGTGATGAAGTGTTTGTCTGGGGAAGCAATAGCAGCCATCAGCTTGCAGAAGGAAGCACAGACAAAATCTTGAGTGCTAAACTATCAGCATCCTTTGGAAGTGCTTTGCAGGTACAGCTGAGTCATCTTTCTTTAATTGTAGTCTCCTTTCTCTAATTATTCATGAATCAGGCCTAGGAAACAGAGGAAATCAAGAATCATCGTAGGTTAAAAAATTTTGTTCTGTTACATCTGCACCAACAATCTTACTGTAGTCACTAGCAGCTGGTTCTCACTTTGTTACATAATAATACGTTTTCAGCATAATAATCAAGATAAACAAGTGAAACACTTTGCAAACTTGTTTTATTATTAGAGCTTAACCAAAACACACGTAATGGGGACTTAAATATTAATTCGACAGTGAACCACCTTGCCTGCATCACAAACATCCAAGCTTCATGAAAAAGCTTATCTTATCTGGTCACTTAGACCTTCCATGCTGCCTTTAACTGCCATCATATACATGTAAGAAACCTCTACACGGACAACAACTTGATCACAGAGATCACAGTTCTTGCAAAGTACTTTGGTTTGTTGGTGTAAGGAGTTGGATATAGCAAATGAAAGATGCTAAATAGACAAAAATATTGAAAATAGCTTGCTGAAATTAACACTGGGTTGGTACCTTTGCAAAAAACACATCACTCTCTTGTTTTCCAACCACTGACCATAACGAAATGCTCTTAAAGGGTTTACTGACAAACTACTGTAGAAAGAAATTTATGTATTATGATCACTTTTTTTTCCAAACTAAAGTCAACCTGCTGGGTAATGGAGCCAACAAACTTATTCCTGATCATTAACCCAAATTTTTGTCACCCTTCTTTCTAAGTTCAAAGTTTAAGCATTGATTTTTGTTGATAATCAACACACCTCCATTACAAACATTAACCAGGCTTGCCTGTGTTTGCTCACAAATAGACATAGACAATTGTTTTTACTTTTTTTTTCTTACCTTTGCAGGTAGAGGCTGGCCAGTATTGTACATTTATCATTTCTCCTGAAGGAACTCTTCATGCTTGTGGAAAAGTAAGTGTTAAGAGAAATAGAAAGGCTGGTTTTTTTAAGAACAAATACTGACCTTATGAGACCATAATACCAGAAGCAATAGGAGGTTCAAAAATGCAGTACAGTTTTGTAGGTTTGGTGCATCATCATAATAATTTTAAAAGTAAAATATAATTATCATTAAAAAATCTTCCAGAATTCTTTGAGGTAATTTTTTAAAAAGCTTTGACAACTTTATACATAGAAGACTGTCAGACCACAACAAGATAACATTTGCCATAAGATATATTCCCATGTTACATCTAAGGTAATGACGTCATCAGTCATGTGAATGTTTCTGAATCAGGTTTTTTTGTTGTTGTGACAAGATTTCATTAATGAGTTAAAAACAAATGGCATATTTGAGGTTTTAGTTGTGTAGGGCATTTAAAAATAACCAGTTGACGTCTGGCATTTAAAATTTAAGGGGGTAATGAATATGAGCGAAAAAGTTGGGAGACTAGACCGAGGGCTGTAGAGAGTCAACCTTTTCGTACATGCCTGAGAAAATTTGTGGGAAAGTGATGTTCTACCTGATAATTTTTTTCATGACCAAAACTAGGGACATAAAGTTATCAGTCATGTGATCAAAGCATTTTGAATGTTTTGGTTAAAGTACCTTTTTGTCACATGTGCCGAATATAATGCATTAATTATAGAAACCCTTATCCATATTAAATAAAAAATTTTTCTAGAGACTTGGAATATTTACAATAAAAGGAGTTAAATATGGCACCATCGTATCCGACATCTGAATCTACGGCCATATTTAATTACTTTCATCGGCTAAAATAGGTGTTCAGCACTCATTAGAAATTCCACGTTTAAAAGGAGCCTAACATGACATAAGTTTCAGCTTAGTGGTTTGCAGGCTGTTATTAAGTTGTTGTTTTCTTTTCAGTAAGAGCAATTTGTATCTCTCTTTGTAAATCTATTTTATTAATCGTCTTGTGCCACGACTTAAGTTGATTTTACTTTCCCTTTGACATGATTTGTATGTCACTGGACATGATTTGTACATCAATAAGAGTGATCAATTTTCATCCATCCATTTCAATGAAAGCAAATGGAATCACTTCTCACTATAGTGGACGACCTTGAACCATGACTTCGTCGTATATTTATGTGGCACAAGACAAAAAGCTAACCCTTTTTGATGAAATTTTAAGTTTAAACTCGTATAGCGTAAAATAATTATAATTTACTTATAAAGGTATCACTTGTAATAATAATAATAATAATAATAATAATAATAATAATAATAATAATAATAATAATAATAATAAATTTAACAAGAGTAAACCAGTCAGCTAAAGCTGTTATAAATGGGTTCTCTGGGCAACTAAAAATAAAAATATTAAAGGACAAAAAAAAAACTATAACATATCAACTATCAGAAAATGTAAAAACTATGTACAATGCTGATGGCTAAAAACTAAGAATTATATAACTAAGTAAATTAACACTCCATAAAAACGGTAAAAGATTTACCAGTTCTCTGAAAAATAATATCATTAAGCTGTGTTTTCAAAACCACTGTAGAGTCAACTTGCTTTAGATGCGGTGGCAAGTTATTGAAAGCCTGGGCTCCAGTATAAAATGTTCCTTTCTTGGCAAATTCTGTACAGACTTTAGGAATTAAAATATATAAAGAAACCTTTATGCCTAGTGTAATAAATATGTGAAGACTTGATAAAATAACTCTTAAAATGATCTGGAGCAATGTTATGGAGACACTTACTGTAAAAACAAAAGTTAAATTGTGCATAGTAGAATGCGCCTTAATGGACTTCCAACTTAATTGCCATAATAGTTGCTATCCTTCAGAACAATAAATTCTTGCTGCCCTTGTTTGAAGTCGTTCTAAAGATTTATATCTAGGAGGAGCTAAGTTGTTCCAAACAAAATCACAATAATCTAACTTGGGAAGTATCCTGGTCGTAAAGACTCAGCTGCATAGACCGTTAAGCTATGAGGTACTGTGCAGACCCCAAAATGATCCCCAACCCTGAAATGATCCCCAAATCGACCCCGAAGTGATACCGACCCCAAAATGATCCCCATTTCTCTTCACGTCGACCCTGAAATGATCCCCATTTAATTTTAGGAATGGAATGATATCCTAGAACTATGGATCGTGCAAAATGCACAACATTATAACTTAAGTTTCACTAATAATCTTCAGTTGCCCACATGACATTAATTTGGGATTACACTTTGAACTGGATCAGTAAAAGAAAATATTATTTTCAAAAAAATACACAAAATCTAGTATATTTTTAGTAACACCATGAACTGCAACTGATAACATCAAGAAACATAACATTTTTTAAAATTATTTCGGCTTAGGTGATTATAGCCCGGGTTATAGAGAAAACTGCATAGATGTTAGATTCTAAAAATTGGTGTTAAAACAGCATGCCTTGCATAACTTGTTAAACTTTTAATGTTATCTACTTGATTCAATGTCGCCTGTGTAATTGCCCCCGCAGGGATTTCGCCCAGAAGGTGAAATCCCGAGGAGGCACTCTAGTAACTTGCGCGTATATTAAGGAAAGTACTTACAGTTGAAATATTCAGTCATACAGTCAATATAGAATAAATCTCGATTTGCTTGAACAGGGGCCGCGAGGAATCGGTAGGTAATGATGACGTTTCTATTGTTTGCGCCCGCAAGTACGAAATGGTTAGGATGACGTAAAACACAAAAAATCCCGAAGGAACACTTCGATACTCTTTTGCGTTACGTGTTATCAGTGAAATTCTGTGGAGTAGTTGTTATGAAAGTTATGGACCAAAAGACACTCGTTAAGCGCAGATGAAGTTATAAGGTGCGTAGAACAGTGTATATTTTAACACTAAGTGAGCTTGCCAGACACGAGTTCACAAATCTTTGATTGGAAACCTTCAGCTGAACCTTGCTAGACACTTTTCCTCTCTCTTTGACCGGAATGAAGACTCGTCCCAAAACAAGCAAGACGAGCGAATGATTCAATGGCTAGCGTATCACTAGCAGAACGATGGACAATTACAGAAATTCGTCGACGATCAAATTTTGTGCTGACTTATTTCCTGCTCACAGATGTCCTTCCGCTATGAGTTTAAAATAAGACTAGAATGCGCAAGCGGGAATTAATCAAACGTCCTTTTGATTTCTAAGGCTTACTTTCCGGCAAATGAAATGAACTAAATGTAAAAAGTGAAATAGAAATAGCGAAAAATTAAACTTCTTATTAAATCTCTTCTTATGGTTTAGAATAAACTATTCTTGAAACTGAGAATGATTATGTTTTGATCAAAGCTGTGTAAATCGAACCGAAACTGTGTGGAACCTTACGTCTATTTCCTGTATTTATCTCACTTATTGTATGGAATATGTATGGAATATGTTTGAACATCTTCAATATGAATCGGTATATTTCAAAGAGCTACACCAGGGGCAAGAATACTATATACAGAGCGGGGGCAGCTGTAGTGTCAACTATTATTAGTCTACAATATATTGGAGAAACCAAACGAAGCCTCAAAGACCGTTTTAATGAACACAGACGACCTATACTCAACCCTACTGGTAATTACATCTATACTGCAGTTTCAGAACACTTTCTAACCAGTAATCATTCCGACAATCATATGCTTTTTGTCCTTTTGCTTCCTATTGAAAAACTTAAAAATGGGCGTGATTCTTTCAGGAAAGCACGTGAAGCCCCACCTTATCCATAAAGCTAAGGCAATTGAGCCTCTGGGCATCAGTAAACGTGATGAACTGTAACTATACATAGTATATCTTTTATTTTTTGTTATCTTGTCTTTTTAAAGTAGCCACACCATGCCACATCATATTACGTAATTTCCGGTCATTTCGTGATATGGCAATAAACCTTATGAAGACTGGCATTGGCAAGTCGAAATATCGCAACTAAACTCTATTTGTTTGATCAGTCCCTGCAAAAGTCTTCTTGACTGCAACGCGTTCAATGCCATGGATATTGAATTTTAAAAATGGTGTTTTAACACTTTTTAAAATTTTAAAATAATGTTGAAGATGCAATAGTATACATAAAGGCGATTAGATGAAAAAAGCGAAAAAAATCACATAAACTGTAGCGAAATGTTAAACGCGATTTAAGAACGTAAACGCTGCAACAGATTTGTAATAATTCAGTGATGGAATACCGTTCCATTCCAATAATTAATTGGGGATCATTTCAAGGTCGACGTGAAGAGAAATGAGGATCATTTCGGGGTCGATTTGGGTATCATTTCAGGGTTGGGGATCATTTCGGGGTCCGGATCATTTCGGGGGCTGTACAGTACCCTACTTAACAAACCAAGTTGACTAGATATCATGTTATTCAGGCAAGTAACATGTTCCTTAAAAGACAGTGACTGGTCTAGGTTTATGCCTAAATACTCATAAAAAGGTACACAATTTAGGACTTGACCTCCGAGGTAAATTTCACTTAGATTAACAGAGTAAAACTGATTAAGTTTCGTGGAAGTTTCAAAGATCGCATATTCAGTTATCTAATATGAATAAATATATCGCTCTTGACAGACGGAGACCAATCCAAAAGGAACTTGACCTCATCATTCAACACTTGCAAGTGTTGAATGATGAGGTCAAGTTCCTTTTGGATTGGTCTGTCAAGAATAATATATTTATTCATCCTAAGATAATTGAATATGTGATCTTTGGTGGTTAGTATCTGAGGCAGCATAATAGATGAGGGTATCATCCGCATACATTATTAATGTGTCATATTGTATGGAAATGTAAAATATTACACGTTCTTATTTTACAGCCTCATACAATGTTCAGTAATATATAGATTTAGCCAGGGCTAAAAGTGAAGCTCCTGTTTCTGAATTTATAATTTAAATCAAACAATAAACTTGTAATCCACAAATGAGTTAACTTTAGGGCAGATTCATATGTCTTTTGAGGGAAATAACCAGAATCACTCAAATCTTACATCGAGTTTATAGTTTTATATGTACACCCAAGAAATTAGCCTGCGAAAACATCCGTTTCTCCTCGCTCTTCGCCGCTGGGGACGTTTCACGAGGAGGAACGTCTGTGACTCGGCGACAGAACTTCTCTACTGATGACGTAAAATCTGTCCGAAATCCAGTCAGAAGCGCTGATTGGTCGACGGAGTAGTTACATTATTTTAGCTATTGTTTACGAATGACAGACAAAAGGCCATAAAGGTCAAATGTAAACGCGAAGAATCTCGAGCAAAACAGTCAATATTTGTGGAATATACTCGCCTTTGAGTTTTGCTGGAGCTCGTTGGCAGATGAACGCAACACTTTACCAAAATAAACCAGAAGACACGTAAAATTGGACAAATTTGTATTTGGAAGCCCATGACTGCCGGATTTATTATGTAAACATTGATTTGCGTCATCAGTATGGAATTTCTGCCGCTGAGTTTCAGACGTTCCTTCGTGCGAAACGTCCCCAGCGGCGAAGAGCGAGGAGAAATGGATGTTTTCGCAGGCTACCAAGAAATAGCAATCATGCACCTTTGATCACAGTACATTAGGCTTGGAAAAAAATTCCTCCCTATCAAAATAACCCAGTCACCCACCTACATCACCTTTTTTTATGACGTTAATAAATGAATCTTTATTGGACAGCCCCGAAATATAATTTTATGCTATAAAGGCCGGTTATAAGACACGATAGTCCTCGTTGGCAGCCAATTTACACGTTATAATTTATCGGTTGCATTCCTTTGCCTTAAAGGGGGGCCAAAATAATAATTATGTTCAACAAGTTTACTTTACAAACTCTTTCCAGTCTTTTATACTTTTTACACATCACATCTGAGGTTAACAGTACAATCAGGCGCTGTTTGTGTATTGTACAGACCTCGGACAGAATACAGAATTTGTTCTTTTTTGCCCTATTTAAACCTATAATTCTGCAGTTTTTCACATTTTTGCCAGACAAATTGCATCCATTCAATATTCAGGACGATCAAAGCATGCATTATAAAATATTTTCATGAAGAGAATTCCACAATATCAGGACTGTTCAGTCAGAACAACCTGCTCCTATGTAGTATGCAGGGTAATAATGGGCTTTTAGGGACTTGTCAGAAATTAGCAGGGGGGAAGGGGGGGGTGGGAATTTTAAATTTGGGTTTAGAAATTAGGTGACCCATCCCTTCAATGGGAGTGAAATTTGCTAACCCTCCCCTTATGCTTGGCCTAAAATATCATGACCCTCCCCACCTTACAGAATTGAGAGAAAAATGTTCCAGGCTCTTTAAGGTTCAGTATTCCAAGCCAACAAGAAAAGAGGAAACAAAAACAAAATAAAAGGAAAGCAAAAAAAACCTAGAGCAAAAAGAATGGAAGCTAACTGCAAAAAAGTTATTGAGACCATTGCACCTCAGCAAGAGTGGCATAATGTTACAGAGCCTATTGGCCCATTATCTCTTCATTATGAAGGAATAAGTGGCCTTTACAAAACACAACGGCCATATACCCAATACATCTTTGAGAAGGGTTGTTCACCAATGAATAACAGGAAATTATCCAGCAATATCCAAGCTTCAACTTAAATGAAAATCATGATGATGATGAAAGTGATTGTATCAATGCTGATGACATAAATGATGATGATCAAGATGCTCACAGCAGCATTGATGGTGGCGCTGAAGACAGTGATGAATAGGATAGCCAAAACTCTAATAACATTAATAACAACATTCTTCATAATAAAAATGCAATAAGACTCTATAGCATTGCCGTGTAATAAATGAAAAGTAGATGTTTGTTAAATTCTTGCAATAGTACTTCACAGTTTATATCCATAATGTTCTGTTGTTGTTTATTATTATTTTTCTTTTTTTTTTTTACCAAATAAGAAACTTCCTTTTATTCTGCAGGTGAACCTCTACATGATCACGGGCTATATTTGCATGGCCCTCCCCCTTTTAACGGCTCATTTTTCATGACCCCTCCCTTTTCTGAGTCTCAAAATGTTGTGACCCTCCCTCTGTTTCCACCCCCCCTCCCCCCCTGCTAATTTCTGACAAGTCCCTTAGCGAAAACTTAAAAAAAAGACTATTTTCATTTCATTTCCGAAATCACCCATGCTAGTTCAGACTTTTCGACAAGTGCCAAATTTGTAGTGCAAGCTGTTGGGTGTTTGAATGAACAGTAACAGAGTTACACTTCAACATTATGTTATTTTTTTGTTTTTACTATGTGTAATCTTTATAATAATATACATGAAAAAAGTTCTCGATTGTGATTGGCTAAGAGAAATGCAGTTTTCTGGTAACACGGTAGAGAAAAAAGGTAATTAAGTACAGAAAGAGGTAACAAACGAGGCGTTCTGATTGTTTAATAAACAAAGGAACTCGCTGAGAGCCAATCAAATATGTCATCTAATGGCTCCGCTCTGCTCTGGACCAGTTTTGAGCAAAAACCGCGGTGGCTGGTGTTTCTAGCAGATTTGCTCTGCGACCGCAACAGCTATAGAGGAGCTGAAAAACAGCCCTACAAATTAAATGAAAACACCGTGGAACGCACTGGCTTTTGGCTCTCTGTTTGGAAGAAGTGGTGCATAGAGAAGAAAATTACTGATGAAATAGAAAATTATGAGCCCGCTGAGCTTAACACTTTGTTTGAGCATTTCTACGCTGAAGTAAAAAATAAACAAGGTGAAGATTAAGAACCAGAAAGCCTTAAAGTAATGATAGCATCGCTTGATAGACACTTTAAGAACAAAGGCTACTCTCTGTCCATTGTATATGTACATGACCATATGTTGGAGGGCAAAGCGAAACAGCTTCGCTTGGCTGGCCGTGTTAAGCGCCCAACAAAGCTTGACAAGTATCAGAGAAGGATGAAGAAATTCTCTGAAAGAGTGGAAAAATGGGAGGTAATAACCCCGAAATCTTTATTTCAAACAATGTGGTGGCTACTTACCCAACACATTCGTCTCTGTGGAAGGCAAGAACACCACGGAATGAGACTGGAGGATTTCAGAATCATGAACTGGTGATGACGACCTCGAATTTGTTGAGTTTGCAGAAGGGCCTACGAAAACCAGAAGGAGGTTTGAGTGCACAGCCGAAACAGTTTCAGCCTAAAATGTTTCACACCGGGGAAGGGAAATGTCCAGTTACTTTACTGTTGATTGCATCTACTCGTGAACGCACGCGCGCAAAACATGTTTTCACGTGACGTCAAACATCTGAGTTTCAGGTGTCAAACTTTGAAGTTTTCCCGCCCAAATGTTAAGTTTTACTTCTCGACACTGCTCAAAGAGAAGAAAGGAAGAAATCATCAGAAAGGCATCCCACTTTCAAGCGATTTTGCGGAATCAAGTGAAAGAACTTGCACAGGATTATTCTTTTTCAGAAGAGCGGAAAAATGGGAGGTAATAACCCCAGAATCTTTATTTCAAACAATGTGAGATTACGCATCAGCAAGATTGCCGTTTCAAAAATCGTTAAGCAGTACAACTTGACTGGAAGCACAGCTCCCAAAACGTTGAATCACGTTCAAACAGTTCCTAAGTGAACTTTCCAAGACTCTATTCTGTTGGAGACCATGGTGCAAGCAAGTGGTTCATCCTCTCTTAAAGAATTGCGTGATGATTTGGCCATTCATGGTGACTGTGGAGAACTGTCAACATCAACGATTTCCAGAAATACTAGTAACAAACTTCCAAGTGGCCGCAACTATTCCCGAAAAAGATTGACGAAATGTCGGTCAGAGCGTTCTCCTGAAAATATAGTGTACACTCAGTTGTACATTGACTATTTAAAAGACAAAGATCCTTCCTGTGTTAAGTTTTTCGATGAGGCAGGGTTTTAACCGACTGATGCCGGTCACAGAAACTTTGGTGTCTCATCTGTCTT